GAGCGAGCGCAGCGGAGAGGGCAGCGGAGATCGCAGCAGCCAAACGAGAGAAATGCAAAGCAGGAGCACACAGCACCGGCACAGCAGCAGGTCGAGCAGCAGCAGCCGCATCAGCAGCAGAGGCGGCGGTAAGAGCAGGCGGTAAGAGCAGGCCTTTACACGTAGAGTTATAGGAGGCCTTTGCCAAATGCTGCAACATCAGGCTGAGCTGCGGCACAGCAGTAATGAGGCTGGCCGCCCAAAGCAAACGCAGGGGTGGAGATTGCACCAGAATGGAAACGGCTTTGCGTTGAAATGGGTGCGGTATTCAAACGGACAAACATCATCAGCGCCATATTCTCTAAACAATACTGCCCTTTGGCCAATCGGGTTGGCTCTCTAGCTTTTCTGGCCCCCACAACATGACACTCCCCACACCCTGTGCTGATGTTTTCAAGGCGATTGTCTTCCTGTCTTGCGGAATCCGCATTCAGCAATTATCTGTCTGGCAGGTCAGGACTTGGGTGGCTTGCTTGACAGGAGGCTTCACTTGTGGAAATGTCTGTTTGACTCGAGCCGTTCAACTCCTGCTGCCCACACGATTTGGCAACTTGTGAGTGTTGGCCCTGGTGCACCACCTGCTGCATCTGCAATGCCACCTGGCGTTCAACAGTACACTTTGCCTGGCGATGCTGCTTATTGATGATGACGGTGCGCGATGCCCCTGGGTCGTGCAATGCTGGCATGATTGTTATCATCAGCCGTTGGGATCTCTGCGTCATTTCATGGTCAATGCAGCCCGTGCGTCTTTCACCCAGAGCCACTGCCTGCTGTGATGAGGCACGGCTGGCGTGCACGCGCCCCTGCAGCAGCCTCCCCATGCAGGCGGCAGATTGCGACGTTTAATGCAACATGGACATCGCCCTTGTGCTTTGCTTTTCCGGCAGCGCTCTTTTTTGCAAGCATTGCATGGTTTAAACACTACTTGCTATTCACAATCGAGTAGCAGACCCTGGTTGAGGCAAGGCAGCCCACGCACGGCTGAGCCTGAGGCTTCAGTGTCGGTATCAACAGCCCAGCAGCCTTTCAGAGATGATCTGTGTGTTCTGTTCAACCTTCGGTCGCTCCAGTCGCTGCAGCAAGGTGCAAGCAGTCAGGGCCCCTCTCGCGTCTTGCAGCGACCCCACATGAACCCTGCTGAAGGCATGAGCCACTCAGCCAACTTCAGCTGTGGGCTTAATGAAGTGCAACCCTCACAGATATCAGCCTGCACTGGCGCGGGCACCCCCCCCCCACCCAGAGGTGTCGCTGATGACATCACCCCACATGCTCGCTGACATCAGCGCCGATTGCTGCCTTGCGCTCCTCCGCCGTGAGGATGAGCCCCTTGACCACGGGGGTCCAGGAGGCCAGGCGGTCAAGGAGGTCGGACGCGTCAGAGGAGACCACCAGATTCTCCAGGTTGCCCCTGCGACGTGTTGGGTGGAGAGTCTGGTGAGATGTAGGGTACTTGATGGGTCAAACGCAAAGCGAGTTACTGAGATGTGGTTGAGAGGCTCTACAATTGCACCATGTCTCATCTGCGCCCCGCCCACGGCGCCCAGTCAACTCAACACTGCGGCGGCTGCTGCCACCGCTGCTGCTGCCGCTGCTGCTGCTGCTGCTGCTGCTGCTGCTGCTGCTGCTGCTGCTGCTGCTGCTGCTGCTGCTGCTGCTGCTGTTGGTACGACAGCTGCACACCGCGAGATGAAGCCGTCGTCAACGGCGTGGCGGAAGAAGCCCAGCAGCGGGTCAAAGAACCCGTCAATGTTATACAGGCCTGGACGGGGGTAGCAGGGGGCAGCAGGCGGCAGGAGCGACCGATTGAGGGTCCAACGCTGCCAGAGAGTTTGGTCCAAGTGCTTTCCTGTGAGGCTAGGAATGAAACAGCAGGGAAAGCGGCAAGATTGTGGGCACCAGCGTGGGGAGGGGCCGCAGCCGCGACCACAGCAGTGAGAGGTTGCTCCCATGAGGTCCAGGCGACCGCGTGCTAGGCCGCTCACCTATGGGCTTTTCGTGAAAGCCCAGCTGCTGCCACGTGATGACCTGCGCGAGGACAAGGGGTTTTTTGGTGCGCCGAGCTGGAGGCCCGGCGACTTGCACGGCCGGGCGGCTGTGTGCGGGCCGCCACTGCAGCCGCGCTACCCCGCTACAAGGGCCTCGGACCTGCAAGCCGCCCATTCGTCATCTGCGGGCTTGCCCCCTGCTGGCAAGCCACCTATCCACACACGCCCTACCCCCTGAATCATCCCTTACCACACACACCTGCACAAACCACCACCACTTATCACGCCAAACCACATTGCGAATCGGAACAATGCGGCGCTCCACGCCTCTGCGTATCCCGCCCCTGTCCCACCCCACTACCCC